TGTCACTGAGGATGGACAACGCTGAACTGAACCACAGCGACAAAATTACAGTAAGTAGAAACCGGTGCAGGGATTTAGTCACTGAGGACCGGGTTCATAAATTAAAGGGTCAGTTCACACAATTTATATTTCTAGTCTGGTGCTGATATTTTGGCTCAGGCGGGTCCAGAGTGTGGAGCTACCTTCAACTAACTCTGTTCACAGTGTGTTGAGAGAAAGAGCTGCTGCTACAATGAGGCCAAATGAAACAAAAACTACCTGTATGTCTGGATGTCACCAGAGGATAAGTGAGGTTTGTTGCCTTGTTTGTTTTGTAATTTGGACAAACTGACCCTTTAAATCAGATTTATTTAACAAGGAAATATCACATACATTGACTATAATTGGAACATTTCATGAAATGATGAATTTACATTTAGTTTATTTTTAATTTGCAGTTAAAATGTCTTATCAGTTTATACCTTTTCAAGGCCCCATTGTGTAATTTGTTTGCATTTCATTTTGTATAACAATTATGTTTAGCATGATTAACATCACTCTAGTCCAAACTGGGCTTCTGTTGCCTCATGATGTCACAGTCTAATAATTAAATGTTGCCAAACCTAAATAACAACAAGAATGATGTCAGTCAGGCAATCGGACATTTACAGATCTTTACATTCCTGAAATGGACGTTCATCAGTATTTCTTTCATAGTTCTTTTTCAGAGATATTAATTTAAAGACTAACATATGTGATTGGACACGTTTAATTCAAAAACCTGTTGAAAATTGATCACTAAACAGTTTTTAGTTGAGGTGCAGCTGGAAAATCAGCAGCTGTGGTTTACAAATGCATGTTGTAATTGTCTCATGCTTAGACATGTATTAGGACATGTTTGCTAATGAGGTGGGTTCTGGGTATGTGCCAGGCGCTGACAGAAGGGTGTATGAGCAGCTTGTCTTTCATCACACTCATGGTTGTGGTTCACAAAGGCTCATTTCCATGTGGAGGACACAGCAGACACACACACACACACACAGCAGTTGGAACCACTCCAACAACGTGTCTTATGTAATGAGGGCATTCGTCCCTGCGTCACACAGAGATGTTGTTGAATTCTCCCTGTGCTGCTGGAGACCGGTGTCGTCTCCTCTTACACTCTTCAGCTACTCACTGAATGCTCTGTTAACCCCGGACCTCTGTGTGCGTCTCGTGTTTCATTCACACCTTTAGCTAATTTAAAATGTTTCACTTTACTTGAATGTAAGAAAGTAAAATAAATCTATGGTTATATTATTGCTGCTTTCCAGTAAAAATCATGTTTAGAGTTTTTTGGATGAACTAAAAACTTTAGTGTTCCTTCATGGGTTGAAAAAAGTTATTTATTTATTTATTAATTTAAATCACACACTGGACTATCTAAGAAATTCAGAGCCACAAATCAGATAACAAGGCCGTTTCTTTTTAATCATTAGCACCTGACTTTTTGGAGGTACTGGGTTTTCAAAGGACAGTGACAAAATGTGATCCAGGGTTTGTGTGTTTAAAGATTAAATTCAATTTAATCAACTTATAACATGTTACAAACAATGATAAAAAGAACAAATCATTTATATGCATCATACATTTTTAATGGCCTTGCCAAACTAACAGGACCTGAATGGTGCAGTAATAAAAGTGCAGGACAACACACACACACATAGTGTTGAAGGATTAAGCTGTATTTACATTACAGTGGCCAAACAAGGGGCTTATGTTGCACATTCTACACTGGTCATTTACTCCCAGGGTGCATTAATAAAGGCATCACATTAGCTGCAACGCTAACATTTCTAGCAGGAGATCAGAGACTCAGACAGTTTTTGTCACCATGTTGGTTTCTGCATGCTGATATTTCACCAAACTGTCTGTCAGTAAAAGGCTATTTTTATTATAAAGTCTGAATAATTCAGACACAGCTAGGCCAATGAGCTTATTGTCTGTTCAGACTGTGGCCAACTCCGATTTGCAGAGCCTGTGCAACAAAACACATACATCAAAAATGTGCCATAACACTGATTTGTGTTGCTCCCTCACTACAACCCAAAACATGTTGTTGTTGTTGTTGTTGCAGCATAATTTTAGAAGATGTCGTTGGTTCAACTGGACTTAACTGATCAATCACTGAAAATGCCTCCCTACATTTTAGCCAGATAAATCTGCACGTCTGATCATGAAATCTGCTCAAAATGTTTTTGTTGGTGTGAACGAAACCTTAGTCAGGGATCTACAGTAGCTCTGTGCAGCACATTCATGGCTCGAAGTTGTTCTCTGAGTTGTAATGAGCTGCTGGATGTCTGGTCACACCGAGTCTCCCAGCTGGAGGCCAAGGGTACCAACTGTGGTGCAAACACTGACGTTCCACCAGGCTAAAGAAAGACCTGTGTGTGTGTGTGTGTGTGTCAGAGGATTTCATGGAGCTATTCACAGACATGTTTATGCCCATGTACCAGTGTTGAGATCATCTCCATGACAACATCATCACAGCAGTGGTTGTGTTACAAAGAGCTGCATGTGAAACAGTTTACCTCCCAAATTGTGTGTTATTCATCTCTGACACTGCAGTGGAAGAAGCCAAACCCTCAGCTACCAACTTAACCAGTGACAACTACTCATGTTACATCACTAATTAGCTTGTTTGCTGCATTTACAGAAGCAGTCCCATAGCTTTGCTAGCCTGCAAGCTGAGCTGTAAGTGGATCCTGACAGATAAATTTATGATCTGAGACAAAAACCTTTGAGTTGGCATGAAATGTGAGTGGATACAAGAGGCACTCGAACCTTGTCCGACAGTTTTCAAATATGTTTGACTTGATCACAGCCAAAAACAGAGATGTGATGGAGCACCTTGGGGATGAGTCCGAAACAGTGACAGGGTAGGGAAGCAGCAGACACACAGACAATGACTCCTCACCCGTTTCAGCTGAATACTGTGTCCATTTGGATGAGTCACAGAGTAACGTTGTAATTAGGCAGCTGTGGAGTCAAACAGACATCTCTCAAGTTTGTCACTAACCTTAAGTGACGACTTTTTACATTTCTCAGAACCGCTATGCTTGTCAAAGCAAAAGACATTTTTTGTCTGCTTGCGTGAGGACACACAAACTGCACACCTGAAAGGCACACTGTGTTTGCTTTGTACCTGTTTTGGATACAGATGTCCTCACGTCCCAGGCTCCACCCCCCTGAACTACTAACACATCTTGTTTTTGCTTTTGGTGAAGCCAAGCATGTCTAACAACTGATCTGGGTGGGTGCCTGGTGTCAGGCAGTGCGGTTCAGTACAACACATTTAATGTCACCTTTTTGTGCTGCATCTGTGCATCCAGGCTCCAGGAAAACTGCTGGATGAGATGTGTCATCTGACGGCTCAGTCCCTCACACCAATGCTCACATCAGAGCGCTTCAAGGTCCTAAAGCTCCTGGGTGAAGGCTCGTATGGCAAAGTCATGCTGGCTGTACACAGGAAGACAGGTGAGGAGGCAAACTAACACATTAATTATAGCCACAAGACGCAAAAGAAGATCAACATCAGAATCTTTTACTTGAATCCTCCAGGAACTCCGATGGCTCTGAAGTTCTTCCCTCGGAAGTCCACCTCTCTCATCTCTTTCCTGAGGGAGTATAATATCTCACTGTCCTTCTGTTCCCACCCGTCTCTGACCAGAGCTCTGGGAATCGCCTACTCCACACCATCACAATACGTCTTTGCTCAGCAAGCCAGCCTCTTTGGCGATCTCTTCGACATCATCTTGCCTGAGGTATAGCGTTATTTCAGCAGAGCTATTAAGGCTTATGAATACAACACATACTGTATCTTTCATGGCTTTTAGGACCAGATTCCCACAGTTTGGTGATGGAATGGATGATAATGGGATTGTTGCTCCTGAGAAACTGTTGGCTTTAATTATGACTTTGTAGCTTCACTGTCACATAATGATGTTAACATAAAATTTAAGAAGTAGAAAAAGTTGAGTTGCATTTTTTTCACTGTTGACAAAGGTCTGTCATTCAAGTTGCCTTTTTACATGGATGTTAGCCTGATGACTGCTCACACACCCCTCTCCCTCCATCCTGCCCAGGTTGGCGTGGAGGAGGACTGCTGTCAGCGTGTGGTGTCCCAGCTCTGCGGTGCTCTGACACATCTGCATGCCCTCGGTTTTGTCCATAGAGACGTCAAACCAGAGAATGTCTTCCTGTGCGACTCCGCCTGCCGCTGGGTCAAACTGGGAGACTTTGGCATGGTCAGTATATGATGTGAATATTACCACTCATATGGCATGATTTAATAGGAAAGGAAGTGTGATTTCATCGAGCACTGACAGTACTGCATGCACAAAAATAAAGCAAATGAACATTCAACAGATGTGTTCTGCACACAAATTTACAGCTTGTTCAGTAACTACGTATTCTATTTGTACACAGTCATAGTGTCCTTGTGTGAAATGATCTCTTACCCCAGGTGAAAGCCAGGGGCAGCAGGATCCCGGAGGTCTGGTACAGCTCACCCTACTGCACTCCTGAGGCCGAGGTCGCTCAAGGAAGTGAGGACAGCAGCATGAATGATGGGAATGATGGCAGTAAGAAGAAGTCAAGAGTTTGGGTGTCTGTGGAGCCCAGCACAGATAGCTGGGCGCTGGGCATCCTGACCTACGCTATGCTCACAGGCAGCCATCCCTGGGCTAAGACAGCCAGCGACTGCCACGCATACCTGAAATATCTGGAATGGTTCGACAGAGCAAAAGGCCCTGAAGGTGAACTGGATGCGAGCATACATGATGCCACTGATTTAAACGAAGCAGGACTGGACAAGAAGAACCACCCTCCCATTGCACCCCAGTTCTCCTGCCTCACCCCACTAGCCTGCTCCTTCTTCCACTTGCTTCTTGAACCGAGTCCCCAGCTTCGTGGACGACCTGAGGACGCGCTGAGCTACCTCGGAGGGGACTGGCTGGTGGAGAAGGAGAGGGTGAGGCTGGAGGAGGAGAGGAAGAAGAACAAAAGTGCGGTCAGGAACATGAAAAAGATGGAGTGGAAAGGAGAACGATAAACTATTGGTCTGCAGACTATTGATCAGTTTTATAAGTACAATGTGTTCTTCCAGAGTTCTGCTTATTTTTTTTATTGCTAATTGGGATTGTAAACATACTGCATAGTTTCATACTTTTCAAAAATAACCCCGATTGTGGTCAAACTCCATAAACTGTTAACTAGTCAGACAGTCAGTCAGATTTGAATGGAAAAGAAAGCAGGGTCCTTCAGCATGTAGGAGGCCACTTTGGAAAAGCTCCTCCTTGTTAAATAAAAACAAAATGGTTTATTGGAAATCTAGCTTTATTTTGAGAAACAGTTGGACTAGGGCCAAAGGTTTTCATTAGGGCCTCGTTTATCCTGCCAATTACTTGTTTACTTTAGCAATGTGTTTTAAATATATCAGACTGAAAATGTGTAGCTGCTGCAGTTCTGGGTATTATTTGTGTTTAGTGGGATTAGGGGTTAATCTTAGCTGTAATACCATCCTTTCCTCAACAGAGATACCTTCGATAGTGCACTGCTATATTTGGGTCTGGACCTGTGAGGGTATAATAGGTCACAGTCGGCTGTGAGCTGTACGTAGCCGGCTGCAGTAGTGGCCACATATACATGTTGGGTACAAACTAGAGATCCAGTTTTAATGCAGCCGGTTTCAAGTTGAACGGATGTCACCTTACTCAGCGGCACTTTCTGAAAGTAAAGATTTATCAGTTCTAAATGTGTTGGGAGCACTTGCACTGTTCCACTGTGAAAGCAGTCACTAGCCTGTAACTTTAAGATGGCGTCATTTTTGTATTTTAGCAGCTCACTGCTGTTGTGGCACTTTATATTCTGTATTTTGTACTCATAGTTTTGTATGGTTAAATGTTCCTTTCATACTATTAAAATGTCAAGTATTAAATTATGGTCTAATGTATTAAATATACATTAATGGTGAAGCTGCATTTTAAGGGTTATCAACATAAGTGTACGAAGTAAAATACTTCTGTTCATGTAGTTGTAACTACTATACAGACATTTGTACATTACTGTAAGCAATCAAATTATATTTTGTATAAGGCTCATTTTGAGCAACTTAACTGTTTGATAGTGTTAATCCTACAAAGTGGTGTTACTGTACAATAAAAAGAACTGCCG